CTTTTCATCAAAACCGCCTTTACCCACCTCAGTGAAGAAAGCCGCTATTCCAGCCTGACACGAGCCATGCTCTTCCCCGTATTTCTTCTTATACTCTAGATTGGAGGGGGAGGAAGAAAACAAACCACAGTCATGTAATTCCATGCCAGCTGCATGCGGCTCACAGTTTGCTGAGTTCCCCTGTTTCATTTCACATGTACTGCTGAGTGCCAAGCCACAAAAAAGACTAACTGGAGCCAAAGAAGGAAAATCTCAGGAATTCAGTGAACCTCAGAAATTTAGGCCTCTCTTCCACAGTATGTGGATATGGCCAAAATTTACAGTTGACTGGACTTCACTGAAGAAGAATATCAGCACCAAAAAAATCCCATGTGTGAACCTACATAGCTGCAAGCTTCCACTGTCAGTTACAGGACATGACTGGCAGGACAACAGCAAGAAGGAAAGAAAGCAGACCGAGGAACTGAATGCTGTAGGCATCAGTGGAATACCACAAGCAGCAATATTGCCTATTCAATTATAATTGTGTAGTTTAAGGCAATACACTTTTCTGTTTCACCTGAGCTGTCCAACCACATGGCTGTAAATGTTGGCTAATGGTTACAACAAGGGAGTAGGATATCTGGATTCTCTCTCCAGACCTGTCATTCACTCTCTGTGTGGCCTTAGGCAAGTCACTTAACCTCTCTTGTGCATCAGACTTTCCATCTGTAAAATATAGTTAAGTATTACTACACCTAACTATAACACAGCTGTGTATTTTATGCAATGTGGCGTGGAGAGCCTTAGGTTTTATAAAGTCCTGTAAGCTCCACGGTTAAGAGATACTATATAAAAGTGCCAAGCATTATGATATTGGTGTATTCAGCCAACCAAACAAATCACACCAGCACTCCTCCCAGTTTTATTAGAAAATAAAATTTAGGTCCAGTGGCAGGACACAGTCCATCCATTCACAACAGTAAACAAATAGAAGAAAGAAACTGAGAGAAAAGATCTCTGTGTTCATTTCCTCTCTCACAGTGCTATTGATAAAACACTTCAACTCTTATAAGGTTTTGTTTCTATTTCTAATAGATACCAAAAACAAGGACCCCAAATTCACCAAACTTGCACTCCAACACAAAACTGTAACATTGATCTCTTATGCTTTTGCATCAAGAGGTCAATGGTGCACCACATGATCACACATTGCACAGAGCTAGGGAGTTATTCTCCCTTAATGCTGCTAATGTCACTGACCATCAAGGTTTAAACTCCTGTTAAAATGGAAATCTGTAACACAACCTTAACTTTGGTGCAGCTATGGCTGCATACTAACTACTTCATACTCTGCTTTTGGCCTCTACAATTCTTGGAAGAAACAGAATGTAAAATGTTTATTCTTCAGAGCCAAATGAGCAGATCCCCTATAAAGTGTGGGACAACTCTAAAGGAAGCAGTCAGCTCCATAGGTGGACAACACAAATTTCTCCTCTCTAATACTTCTGATTCTCTTTCAGTCTTTGAATGGGAGGCAGGACTTCTGAAAGAGCATAGAGTGCTCCTTCGATCTGTGCAAGTTTTCAGTGCTGAGCTTTGAGTTCCTCTCTCCACACTGCCAACTCCCTTCCTGCAAGCCGCACCCTGACCTAAGGACGTTAAATATCAGTTAATTTACTATTTGAGTACTCAACTAGTCGATAGGCACTTCTGCATTCCTCCTTTGAAGTGTACAAGAGCCCCCACTAGGGCTCTTGTACATTTCAAAGGAGGAATGCGGAACTCTGCATGCAGCCTGGGCCCAGCGGGAAGTCCTGATGACTCCAGGCTGCACGCAACATGGCAGCTTTGAAATGTACAAGAGTCCCCAGCGGGGGCTCTTGTGCACTTCAAAGTGGAAGTGCCCTCATGGAGCCCGGGGTCAGCAGGAGACTCAGAGTACCCCGCTGACCCTGGGCTCCATGCTGAGCTGCTGCTTTGAAATGCCACGTGGAGCCCAGGGTCAGCTGGGGACTCCCCAGCTGATCCAGGGTCCCATGGAAATATCGCACGGAGTCCAAGATCAGCTGAGAGTCTCCGATGACCCTGGACTTCACATGGCGCTGCCCCTTTGAAACAACATGGCAGCGTTTTGGAGGGGCACCATCACACAGCTGAGCCCAGGATCAGCTGTGCGGTGCTGCTTTGCCCCTTAAAGTGGCAGCGCCACACATAGCTGCCCCTGGGCTTCATGCAGCACTGCCCCTGAAAGAGGCAGTGCCACATAGAGCTCGGGCTCAGCTCCTTGCAGTGCTGCTTTGAAACATTGCCACAGTGTTTCAGAACAGATTTGGGAGGTTCAACCTGTATTTGTTTTAATTTTTCCAAAAATACAGCAGACAATATTCTATACCATGAGACAGGTAAAATCTATTTGGATGCCTTAAACATCTGATCATGAAATATTTGCTCACACAAGTAGTCCTGCTAATAGTGAAAGAACCATCCTCCTGAGTAAGGACTGACCAAGTGAGAAAGGTTTACAGAACTCCACCCTTATTGAATCACATATGAAGAGGGAAACAGACTCTTTCCTCTGTGGTATATCTTTGGCTTTTAAAACAGGAAAAGACAGAAGAAATTCTGAAAAGAAACAGGTGTACCATTCGAAGAAGGTAGTTTGTGTTTGCTATAAATGCTATGGAGAAATTTAGAATAAAATGTTCTAATTTTGGGGAAGTTCAAAAACAAATTTCACTGCAAAAATAATGAACTGAGTTCATCCCTGATGTCTCTGACATGAGATCAATGGTGTTATATGTAGGACTAAGTTAACCTAGCATGTATGTAACTGCCAGCTACGGCTCTGAAAAGCAGTTCCACAACATCAGTTCTGCCTTTCTGATAGAGCAAGAAGAGATAAGACATCAGAAAACCGTGTTTTCTAAATTTTCTGAACTGTGTTTTCTAAACTGTGTTTACTAAATTTATGAACTATAGGTTATACCTCCCTTAACTGGGACTCTCTGGTCCCACCAGACCAAAGAGTCCAGGTATAGGGAGGTCTAGCCATGAGGCAGTAGCACGGTGGAGGGGTGGGGGAGGAGCACTGTGGAGGGAGATGCTGCAGTGAAGAGATCTGTCCCCTGCTGCAGCCAGGGAGCCCTACCTCGGCTGCAGCTGGGAAACTCCAGCCCGGTAGCCGCAGGGCAAGCAAGGGGGTTAGCCAGGGCCATTACGGGG